GTACGCACCTACATTATTTAATTGCAGGTTGTCTCCGATGGGCATGATTTTCATTCCATGTTACAAAGGTATTCACTTTGTTTTTTATGAACCACTTGCAATTTCAGCATTTTTTGTGCAATCAATAGCTAAAAGAAAGCGAACAAGTGGTAGCTTGTGCTCCTTCTATTATTATTATTATTTTAAAGCACCTATAAAGATTGAAAAGTAGAGCTCGAATCTTGTGTAAATAAACATAATGAATGAACTTAGAATACAGATTCAGGGTTCGGTTTTCCCCAACGTGTAATTGGAGGGGGCCAAGTGGGTTTGAAGATACAGATATCTGTCTCAAACTCAAATTTGACATTATCTTGATAATAGTTAAACTAAAGAAATTTAAAGCATACAATTAAGTTTATACAGGTTTGGGGCGGTGAGGACGTGACGCATCCCCACCAAACCTTGTTGTTCTATATTCACATGCATGTCAATGTGCCTTCCAGTTTCCAATTTGATGGAGAGCTAAATAGGGAAATGTATTTTTTTCTAAGAGCTTCATAAAGAAAGAATTTGTCAATATTCTTGTTCTTCCTTTTGCAGGGTACAGCCATAAGCCTGAAGAGTTTGCCACCATTCAAGACATGTCAAATGGTGTAAAAGTATTGGCGCTCACCCTAGCCAAATTGTCCAGTCAGTAACATCTTCTGTAGTGAGTTCATGTTGATTATCATTGAAGAACAAAAACATGTAATTTATTTCTGTTAGACTGTTACATCCTACTGATTAAATAATTTAAAACTTTAGATATAACCCCCTTTAGTATATCAAAATGAAGTGTTGGACCATTCAATATGAAAAATGGTTTTATAAGAAACACTTTTTATTGAAGTAAAATGATAATTGCCTTCCTGTGAAAGGACTCACAACAGTGAATTTTACTTCAAACTGCTCAAAAGTCAAAGGCACTACCGATTTTGTAGAACCCAGTTGCATATACACCAACCAGAATAGCCTTTTTCAAATCTTAAATAGTTGGACCACTTTGTATGGAGACAAAAGACATCTTACTTTTCTCAATTGTCCACATTGCATTTCAAAATCCACCTATGATTACAATTGTTGAAACAGCTGGATTCAATAAATAAAAGTAATTAGAAAACTAATACATATAATTTAGTACGGTAGTTGGAATAGCCCTTCATGGATCCTTTGAGTGAGAAAATGACATTGTGGGTTGTAAGATCTTCCTCAAGAAGAATGAAGTTAGTAAAGTTAAGATGAAGATTTTAGTTGGCATGCTTCATATGGTTAGTTTTGCTCTTGCCTTTCTTTATTTGTTGCTTAAACTATGGAGAGATTCAAAAGAATAAACCGCTTAATCTTGACACTCTCAAATTATGACTCACTCAATCTTGAGGTGGGTGGTTTTGTTCCTACTATTTTGTACTTCACTTGACTTATCTTATGATTGTTTTGACCAATAACCATTGTTTTTTAGAGTTGCCTTTCTATATTAACGGTCATTAGACATATATATTATGATAATGAGACAAAATGCGGTAAAGCAAGTTTAACTCACAAATTACCTCCTAGATACGACTTTTAAAACGTACATTTGATCATGTTAAATTTCTAGCTAGACGAATAAATAAATGCCAAATTTGTTTTCTTGTAAAATGAAAACCTAGCTATTATTTCAACTAAAATTGGTTGCTTTTTCAGTATCCATCATTTTCTATTTGATAAAGTTGTATGTAAATTGTATTATTATAAATTTAATGCACGCACTTTCCTGGAGAGCTTTGTATGAAAAAAAAACAATGGTAACCGAACAGTTGCTGAGATAAGATATACAGTCTTGTCCAACTCCCCATACTTTACAACAAACATGTACTTCCCAGTAAAGCTTTACTCCTTTTCATGCATATGCTCTGATTAAAGCTTCAAGCTTTCGTTTGAAAAACCCATGTCCATGAAATTCAAATTTTGTGTCCGTTATGAGCAGTAGATGTTAAAAAAAATTAAATTGCAAATGATCTATGACTAGAGACAAAATTCAAGAACTCTACTTGACCTCAAATTCATAGAGTAAAAGTCTTCAAGTTCAAACCCTAGAGTGGACGTGAGCTGAGCTTTGAATAAAATATTAATGATTTAATAAATGATGGGAGGGTGTTGGGCATTTTTCGAGGGGTTAAGCAGGAACAGTCATGGATAGGGTCTAAGCAATGCATTAGATGGGATGTCTTTTCTCTAATTGCTTTTCTGCAAAGAAATTACCATCATCATTTAATGATCCTCACTGGTTACCTGAATGAGTCATAGGATATGTTAATTGAGCTAAAACTGTCACATGAAAAAGGTTTGAACCTTTAACTGATACATTAAAAGAGGTAAGCCTAATTAGCTGGATTGAGGGAGACACTTTTGTTTATTGAATATTAATATTATTATAACTCGCATAATTATGTATGAATTTTCAATGAAAATGACAAATTAATTAGTATTTTATGTCATGAACCAGACTATAATCACTCCCATTTATTTGTGATGGAGATTCCATATTGAATTAATAGAAACCTGATTTAAAAAGCGTATATAAACAGAGACATCTCTCTCTGTAAACTAGTTTTTGGAATTGAGTTTGGTTTTGGTTATATATATATATATATATATATATATATATATATATATATATATATATATATATATATATATATATATATATATATATATATATATATATATTCTAAGATAATCGACTACAACTTGTGTAAAATTTTTACATACATATATATTTTTCATTTTTAGTATTAAAAATGAAAAAAAGTGCTATTACTTTTTCTTTTATTTCTTTTTTTTTTAAATGATATATCTACAAATTTAATTGTGAGCAATGCTTGAGTGCAAGTGATGACTACATAGAAATCTTATTCTTTAAGATTCGTGACATCATTCCTTAGTAGAATATACTTATTTAGTGATGAATAAAAACTATGTAATATGTATTGAAGGAAATCAGATCCTTTGCCACTCTTATAGATATTATCATGTAACTCAATATATAAGAATGAGTCGTGTATGTTTGTTTATATGGAATTTAAGCAGATTTTATTTTAGAAGAAACTTGTAGTAGAAATTAAGGTTTTTATTTACGAGGGGACCATCAGGATATTCAAATCTGTATTCATTTGAAGAATTTTATATGTACACCTGTGAAACACGTGTTCTAACTTCCCAAATTATTGTTTGGTTTATAATCTACTCATACTCCTAATTTTGATTTTAGTAATAAACCTAAACTCATTTAGTTGCCTTTAAAAAAAAATCATTTTAATTTTTTTTAAGTGAAACATTCAGTAATTTACATGACTAATAACTTCGAAAAGGCATATGCAGAAGTATAAGAATTATCAAGTTTAGTTGTAAAGAAGGAGAAAAGAAAAGACCCAAAACATGCAATCATGTATCTGGACACAAACATCCAATTGTAAAGACAAAACAAGAGGGTATTTGTCTATTTGATTAAACATTGCACTAAATCAATTATAAAGAAAAAGAGAAGTGAAGACAAAAAGTATTTGGTAGAATAATTCAATTTCATTTAAAGGATGCGTTTTTTAAATTCTATCCAGAGGCTCGAGAAAAGAATTATTTACAATTGTTCTGTACAGCAAAAGTGGATGAATCCAAATTCAAAATTGGAAAGACGAAATTTAACTCCGTTAACAAACGGCGTGTGACCGACGAGCTCATATAAACGCGCGACAACACAACATAGAACAGGACAAAACTCGAAGGCATAAGCTCAAACTCAAAGCACAACTCACCAACATAGTTGCATTATTTCTTTCCAGATCCAACTCAAAATGTGAGTCATCCTCCACTCTTTTTCCATTCCTATGCATCAAAATGCACATTCTTTCTTTCTGAGATCCCTCCTAAACCTTGTTTCTGCCTCTTTTTATATATTATTTTATTGCCTAATTTAATGGCGCGTTCAATTATTGCTATTGTAATTTTCTGGGTTATCGATCCTTTGGGTTGATTTTTTGTAATGGGGTTTTGTTTGGTTGATGGGAAAATAATTTAAGTGAAGGTTGGTTACTTGTTCAGAAAATGTCTAATGGGCTGAGCAAGAAGAAGGCAAGTCTGTTTTCATGTTGAATTTTGAAATCCGCTTTTTCTTTATTGTTTTTCTATTGCAAGTATAGATAATTAAAAGTTTGAGTTTTTTATTTTTACTTTTTCTTGTTTTTGGTTCTTTTCCTCGGAAGCATTTTGCACCTATAGCTTCTGCATGTGTTGATCCAGTTTTGGAAAAATAATGTATCCATACGAGATTTAAACTTACCATTTTTGTTGTAACTTAAAATATATACTATTAGACGCTCTTCACGTGTGATTTATGTTTATATTGAATATGTCGGTGAAAACCATTTATGTAAGATATTATTCTCTTCATTGATTTTGGAAGTTGAGAAAATTCAATGTATTTTTCCTTGGGATGATCTACGTGGTTACGCTTTAGAAAAATTATTCTGGGCTATCCTTATTCTCGTTGCTTAACACCCATCTTTTTTCTTGCACATATGATGTCTTGTTTTTGATGTAGTTCAGTGGTTGATTTTTGAATTGTCAGAGAGTCTTAATCATTGATTGGAGACACAAACCAACCAATTTGATTGCTTTCCTTTTGCATGTTTTAGTTTTTCTTGAATGCTTTTAAGCCTGGAATTAGGTAAACAATTGATTCTATTCCATATGATTTATGTTAAATAATGCAGATATGCTTTCATACAAAAAAACTTGTCATGCTCATTACTTTAGTTTTTAAATAATCTGTTGCTCCTTGCTTTCACCTTTCTGATTGAACCCAACGATTATTGATTTTAGAGAATATTCTCATCTTGACTTGGGTATATTAAATTTATAAGTACTGTTAGGCATGTTAGTTGTAACAGTGCTTATATTGTGAGTGTCACAATCAACTGTGGTTGTAGTGAGGAGAAGATAATATGATCAGTGAAGCTGGCATAGTTGTAATGAATGTTTCCAGGTGAGAACAATAGTTTCAACCATAGCACCTCGATAATTCTCCGGACTATAGGTACAAACTCAGAGAAATGTGTAATTATAGATTTCAAGAAGGAACTTTTAGAATTTCATTCTCTTTACAAGACTTTTTATTCAAGATATTCTTTTCTTTTTGTCACGACTGTTAACGCTGTTGTTTTAAATGAAGTTCTTATTTTAGACTCTTGCGTTTTGGCTCAATGGAAGAAGTTTATATATTTTCAAACTGTATCCTTTCTGAAGATTCCATAGCGTCTATTTCAATTTTCAACTTGCAAGTGTATAAGTAAGTTGTTTGTTTTAGAGAGATTTTCTTGTTAAAGGGTTAAGTGCAAACTCTTTTGGCTTATATTTTCTTATCTATCTACCCAAAAATAGGTACAGGGCCACCCTGAGATTTTTGGTGCCTGGGCAAACGGATAAACCAATGCCCTTCTAATCATTTAAATATTGTTTTTCTTGTATTTTTGTTGCAAAATCATTAATAATTATTTCATAACTAAGATTTAAAAAAAAAATCAATAGAAATTTGAACAAAACTATTTAATCTGTAGTAGATAATAAGATTTTAACAATCTTAATTTCGAAAAACATCTTTTGGCAGATGCAACAGTGATAAGAATAGTTAATATTATTATTATATAGGCTATACATGCATTAGGGAAACAACTAAATGTCTTCAAAGAATTCAGTTGATTCAATTCTTAAAATCACTCTAATGCTTTTAATTCTTCTAACAAAATTTCACTCTTCAAGATTATAAGAATGACTGTGTTAGATAAGTTTCTAGGTGTTTGCAGTGTAATTTCAAGTGGGAGAATGATTTAAGTCTTTCATACTAAACAAAATTCCAAAAAATTTCTTTTAAGTGAGCCAATTGCTTGATCTACAATATATAAAAGATAATGTATCCTAAAAGACTCTTCAACATACTTGTTTTTGTGGTGCTCTCCAAAAATTGGACCCTGGGCTCAGGGCCACTACTAAATAGGTACATCCCAGCTTCACCCCTTCACAATCATATGTACTTATTTTTCTGTTATGTGTGTCAGTAGTAATACAGAACTGTAAAACAAACTATACTGATGATTTGTGACCTTTTAATCAATTCAATTTATTTAGTTCTGACACTAAATTGTTATAGTGCAATGGGAATAGAAGATACAGATATTTGTATCATCAAGGAGCCAGATCATGTCGTAGTCTATTCAGATGGCATTTCCCATGATTCAGGTCAAGAAGCTGGCGGTGATCATCACAATATTACCGAGTCTTATTTACAAATCAGCGAGACTACTGAACATCATAGTTCAGAGGAGAGTGCAAAAGAGTACGAGGTGAAGGAATGCACTACAGAAGTTTCTGTTAAGGTCTCTGATGCCATTAATGTTAAAAAATGTGAGGAGAAGTTAACCTCAGATTCTGAGGGTGTCCTCAGTGAGAAAAGTTTTAAATCCCACCAAACGAGAGGTAAACACAAGCCACGAGACACTGTGAAGAATGGATCAAGACCTCCTGCTGGAAATGTTCATAGCAGGTGTACGGGAAATACCCAAATCAAGCCCACAGTTCCACAGCCGTTTTCCTTAGCAACTGAGAAGCGTGCTTCGGTTGGAACTCGCCCTGCTTTTGAAGAAGACAACAAGGGCATTATTGTGAGAAAATCTTTAAATAAAAAAAGCGTGCTATCTCCCAATATGCTTAAACAGAATCAGGTATATGCTGATGTTAACTCTGTTTCCTCTAATTATTCTTATGTCTTTATATTTGTGGAAGGTTTTAAAAATAAAACCTTCTATTACTGTGCCTAAAGTATATATCATCAGGGAAGAAAAACTTTTCAAGTTTTAAATATTATCTCTTGCATATTTCATACAAAGTTCGGAACCAGACAGCTTGAATTTTTGCATCTATCCCATTAAGAGGTTCTCCAGATTGGGTAAAATAGCTATCTTATTAGGATTGCTACAATATTGCAATTAGATTTGGTTTGACTGAGTCGTTGCTACACCGTATATGGTTAATTTTGTCTTATTACTATTTATTCACAGTTAGCCTTGAAGCTTTTATTTTCTCTGCTTTCACCTTGCAGTTGAAATCTCCTGTAGTTTCAAGTAAGCCACTGCTACCTGATAACAAGAAGCACCCTGATGAGGATGATGCTTGCTCCGTAGCTTCACTGTATCCTCTTAAAAATGTTGTAGTTGAAGAGTGTCAAATTCTCATGTCATGTTTTTCTTATTTTGGCCATTGTTATACTTCCTTTTAGAATTTGAAATTGCTATTACTCCTTGACCATGTAAAGAACTGGAACTTCTGTGCGGTCAATCAAATCCAGGGCAACTGCTGCTTCTGCTCCTGTGTTTCGGTCCACTGAACGTGCAGAGAAAAGGAAGGAGGTAACAACCTGTCTATAGTTAGCTTTGTGTGAATATAGGTTTTCCTACCTCAAATTGATTGCTGCATGTCCCTTCCATAGTTTTACTCAAAATTGGAGGAAAAGCACCAAGCAATGGAAGCTGAGAAGAATCAAAGTGAAGCAAGGACCAAGGTGCAACACTTTCCCCAGTATATTCAAAACTAGGAAATACATTGTCATTCTGTTACTTCATTCTTCAAGAACATAAGTTTGTTTTCTCACTCCAATTCCTTCATCAATTTCGAAACATTTAAGGAAGAGTTGGAGGAAGCTATCAAGCAGCTAAGGAAGAGTTTAACTTTTAAAGCAAGCCCTATGCCAAGCTTTTACCATGAGGGGCCTCCTCCTAAGGTTGAATTGAAGAAGGTATGTACTGTTCTTGTGCTTGTAAAATATCATGTATGCGGTTCAGTTTTTTTTTTTTTTTAATTTAGTGTTCATGTTAAGCTCTAAAATCAAATTTCAACAGTAACTGAAAAACTGCTCATTATAATTGTGAAAGATCTAGTTATATAGACATATTTTCAAATTCTGTGCTTGACAAAAGTTGAGTGTTATGTCTGGGTCAGCTACCAGCCACACGAGCAAAATCTCCAAAGCTGGGCCGGCGTAAGAGCAACAATGGTGCTGTTCATTTATCAGAAGGGGACAAGGAGAAAGGAACTGGTATCAGGAGAAAGCATCACACTCTGAAGACCAACAACTATGATGATAAGAGTGATGTGAATGGCTTATCTGACCTTAAAAACAAGACCAATCATATTGAAGAAATTAATACAACCGAAGTAACTGGACAAGCAGACTTGGGGATTGGCAGCCAGTGAAGTTTTCAGTGAGATTAGTTTCTCATTTTTCTAATTTATGTATATCTGGGGACTGTGATCTTGTTTCTCCCAACAAGCATGTTCACTTTGTTTTTCCTTTAACTTAAAAGCACTTGCTGCTGTGTGCATTGTGTAAGTAGTGAAAATGTTTATTATAATTTATTTCAAATTATTTGTAAAATTAAATCCTGTTGCTCATAAGAGCAATTTCAGCATTTGTTTGCCTGCCTGAAGTCCAGGATCACATTGTTCGAAGTCATCATCATTAAATAATGCTGTTCGATAAACAATAATTTTGCTTCATTTTTTTATATTTCTTGATACTTCTTCTCTCATTAGCAAAGCCGTGTGGGTTTTAGTAGTAGTGTATGAAAGACAAGCTAGTGCCATAGCTATGATTTTAACCTCCAACTTTATGGGAGTATAGGACATTAATTGCAACATGAATTAAATTAAGATGATTATCTGTTTAGATGATCATTTCCTTCCTTTCAGTGGCAAAACTGACATTTGCATACTGTGGCCACATGCCAGAGGAATAGTGTGAAGATAGGCTGAAGGGCCCTGATGCTTGCTGCCTGTAGGTGGGGCATTAATGTCTGGCAGTTACGTTAGAAAACAGAAATAAAGATGTTATATATCTATTGCTTATATGGTTTTGTTTTTGGCACAGCAGAAGAGAAACCCTTTTGAACAAAACATACCCCATTTGTAAAAGCAACACTTCTGGTCTAAGGGATGCTGCTTCCATATCAATGTAGTTTAGTCTGTAGAAGCATAAGCTAAACTTGTTTCGTGTAGGATGTTCTGATCAAGAAAATTTAATGAGTAAGTGTTGTATACTGTTATAACGAGTAAAAGTGGTAAAATATAGAGTTTAAAGTATGAAGTTTTGAGTATGAATTAAGCACGAGCTTTTATTTGCATGGTCTGATAAAGCAGTAAACATCATTTTACAAATTTGAATTTAATCTAAGATTTCTTTTTGTTGGCTAACTTGCTGTCTGCATTAGATCAGATTCTTGTGTTGCCATCTCTAAGTACGCAATTATCTAAAAGGGAGGTTCTATTTGTAGAGTTTTAGTAGCATGGAAAAATGATTCACTTAGGAGGAGTAAGGATCAATTTGTTGCTTGGTGACTGCAATAATTGGTATAGAAGTTATTCGGAGTTAAATCTAAATGTCTAATAACGTGTGACAAAAGAATGTCTCTCAATCACAAACAGCAAGATTTTTAACTTTTTCATGCATATCCTATTATGATATATGATTATGTTTTGTTGCCTACAATCTATATTTGCCTATTATGTTAAAATAAAAACTACCTGTTCTCACGACTTTATAAAAACAGTTTCTAGACTTACAATTTATTATAATTTTTTAACTCTTAATATTTTAAAAAAATTATTTCTCTAAACTCGCTTATATTTTTTTCATTTTTATTTTAAAAAAACTCACTCTCATCTTATTTATCTTCTCGAATAATATATAAATAAAAAATTCATAAATATAATGTTTTAATATTTTAGATTAAAAGTGAAGTAATATTTTGTCTTATGATTAATTTGTGTCTCGTATGTAAATACTAATGTAATATTACTTGCGAAAATTACCAATAGTGATATCTGTGAGAATTCCATTTTAACAACTCAATCTACCACCTTCAAATCTGAATATTTATTTTTAATTAGTATAATATTGATTAAGTTAATTTTTACTATTGTATTGTTTATTTATTTGTTTTAATTATTATACTATTTTTCTAGTTATTGTATTATTTACTCTATTTATTTAATATTTTAATAAAATATGTTATCTCCAAATAAAAACTATAAAAATTCATTACTTTTTTCTTAAAAAGATAGAGTTTATATTTAAAATATATAAATATGTCATGTTATATAATTTTACAGTAACATTAAAAATGAAATTTACACTTCTAATTCAACAAATCAACTTGTAACAAAATTTAGTTTTCTGCTATACTATATTTCAGCAAACAATAAAGTGTTCAATATTCACTTATATCTTTAACTTTGATTAATTTAATAGTTATTTTTACCAAACATGCTAGTGTTACGCCAATCTTAATGCTTAAAATATTAACATGAACTTGATACAAATTAATAAATAAAAAATATAAAAATTTAGGGAAGCACAAATTTTTTTAATATAAACTAAAAATTATCATATAAACTTAAAAAGGGTTATAATTTTATTAAATACTTCTATGAAATAAAAAAATGTTTGTTTAAGTTAAAGATTTGCCATTAATTAATTTAGTCCTTTGTGGATTAGTTTCGAGTCTCTCACAATTAAAATCAAACATAATTTAGCGTTTGCTTGTTTCTATTTTTTTCACAAGTCACAACAATTTTCTGTGTCTGAGACCTGACACCCGAGACACATTCCTCCGTCCATTAGTCCTTGCATAGTTACATCCATTTCATTGTAATATATTTAATAAAAAAATAATATAATATTGTAATAATATTAATAGTATTTAAATAGAGTTATTATCATTATTATATAATAAAATGAAATTTACCTACTAAGTTATTAATTGTCAAAATATCATATCTAGGGGATATAGGATTGATTTGATGATAAAATTGGAAGAAAATTGAAGGAGAGGTGATATAGGTAGTGAGTTGAAATATCCTGTTAAAAAAAACAACTAACGTATTGGAGAATGAATACAAATGTAGCACAAGCACTCTAGTTAGGAATGCTGATTACTGTGTGGCATTTATTTTTTCCACCGACACATATAAGTTCGCTAGTGCAGAAAAAACATAAAATATAGTCATGAATGAATTGTTCATATAAAAAAATGGTTTTCATAGATGATGAAGTATTGGGAAGTTTCTTTTATTCCATATGTCTGTTCACACATTAAGATATGCAGTGTTGTGTTAGATCTGAGTGTGGGGTGTGTGCATAGGGAATTAGATCTTCTGACTGGGTGTCAACTCTACAATGATGAGTCCACATAATCTCGGATATCTACAAGAAAAGGATGGGTGAGAATGAGAGAACTGAAAAAATGACCCTTCTTTCATAACAAGGACTTATTAGCATAACATTTATAGGGGAAGGGTGTTAACTCAATTTGATGGTGTGGGGGCTAGAGGGGTCATTGTCCTTCTCAAGTTCCATGACATGTTGCTGTCGTCCTTTCACTATTACTTTTTGCATGTGAGTTTTATTTCCTTCCATCTTCCCCCGCATCATCAGTTATTCTACTTGTTTCCTTCTCCCTGTTTTTATTGTTTGTTATTCTCCAATTAACTTTCCCACTTCTCACACACTTCGAAGAGGACAAACACCATCGTATATTTCAGTCTAAATGAATGTGCTGCATGCAGAAAATAATTTATTCATTTTTTTTTTCTTTGGCCATGCTAGTGATTGGTTGTATCATTACATCCCTTAGTTCACAACTTTCCTCAGTTTCCTTCCTAATTGTTTCGTTCCTTTCATTCTTTTGACCAGTTTTTGCGTGTTGCAAGTGTGGCATTGTCTAATCTCTAGGTGACGGTTTGAACGTTAATAGTCAACGTAGGAAAAACTTCTACTTCTGCTTAACTACTAGGTCAAACTCTCGGTTACATACTCTATTCACCCCGAATTAATTTTGGGCTTGTGTGTGTGAATATGATGATGCTTACTTTGCCTTGCTGCATTTTGTTTCCATTTTTGCCCCATTAGGACCACAACAATACTTTCTGCATGTTTAGAGCTTGATGGAGTTATATGCTGAAAACATATCAAGAAATTAAAATCCCCATATAGTATGGCAAACTATATATTTGTGCATATCAGATATAATACTCGTGGTACCTAAACTTTTTGTCCTCACTTTTCTGTAATTTTTTTCATTTTTTTTCGAAACATGTTCGATTTTACTGTCCACTATCCACTTGCCACTACCTCTGCTTAAGATATTATAGGACTAGCACTAACGGTATTTCTTTCTATGAAAACTTGGATTGACGCCATTTGGGAGTGTCATTCATCAATGAAAGCTCCTATTCAATCTTCATTTGCCCCTTTTTTCTGAGTGGAAAGCAAAAGAGAACTCCTTTAAACACTCATCTCAATACCATGATACACAATAATTTGTGTTCTATCACTTTTACTCACTGCTTAAGTCACTCTGACAACATCAACTCTGTAAGCAAGAAACTCCATCTTATTATTTATTTTACAATAATGCATAGAAGGAAAGCAATGTTATGTACAGAACCAAAGTCACTATTGAACACACTACACAACTGGCTCCATCAGAACAATGGTGGAGCACAGACCCTGCTGTCATGATTTTACAAAATGTACATGTAATTCTGCCTAAGTTTTTGACTAGGAAAAGTCTGAGATAATCTGAACTTAGACGGACCCCTTAATGTCAAATGCAACAGCAAGACATGTGTAGATGGTATTAAGTCTTCCAACCAATAGGATTATGTTATTGGCAGCCACGTCTGTGATAGGACTTGGCGGTATTGTTTGGTAAGATATTGGCAAGGCAGGTAGGACTAAGGGAACTTTGCTAAGCCTTTAACAGATGCTAAAAGATCTGTTTACTTTTGCATCACTAATCCACCTTAACCTTTACTGATTTGAAACCATTTACCATCACAATATGGAAAATGGACCTTATTTAACTCCTTTTTCATTTTCCAAGACATAATTAGTATGTTTGAATTTTCAAAATTAACAGATGAGATCTACGTCAGACGTATAACTTTTGCACTAATATACACATGGAGTAAATAATAACAATCATTCAATTAGGTTGTTAGAACACTCCACTCACTTCACCAAGAGGGGAAGGGAGGGGAAAAAGTAGATAAAGAAGAACAAAAATTAAAACAGAAGGAAAGAAGTAAAAATCTCTTCCCCAGAGGAGGTTATAGTATTTTGATAGATCATTTAAACTAAAACCAGGGTAAAATATTGTATAGTACACACTTAAAATCTGCGTGAAAAGCTTGAC